TTAGATTTTATGCTAAGCCATGTGGATAGCCACTGGTGGGGAGGGAATGGGTTTCTGAGCAAAGCAGTGACATGATATGACTTGTTTTGACATGATGACCCTGGCTGCTGTTTTCAGATTTACACAGGGGAGTGAGGTTGGGGAAGCAGGGCTGTGAGAGGTCAGGAGACAAGCTGAGGTACAAGCTTGAGGGTATTGCAATAATTTGGACCAGGGCAAAACTTGTGTAGGTGTTGAAAAGTAGTCAGATTCTGGGTATGATTTGAAATTTGAGCCTGCTCTGAGCATGACCAACAGAGGAATAGGAATTATTTCAATGTTTTGCATGCGTATGTGCAACTGGAAAGATAGAATTGCCTGTACTAAAGTAAGGATATTCCAGGAGGAGAGGTTTGAGAAAGGAAGATGAGGATACCTGTTCAGAAAATGTTAAGTATGAGATTCCTATTACAGATATACAGGGAACTGGTGAGGAGATGAGATAAATCTAAAGTTCAGGAGTAAGGCTTTAGCCACAGATACAAATTTTGCAATTATGAATGTAGAGATGATATTTTAAGACGTGAGACTAGACAAGGTCATACACGTACACGCAAAAGTTGAATACTGAAATGCTTCAATTAAGAAGCCTAAGAAATGAAAAAAGAAAAAAAAATTAGTAAAGGACACGTAAATGGAGAAGTCAGTGAAAGTGATGAGGCAAACCACAAAGAATAGTGCCCTGGAAAGTATTGCCAGGGGAGGGAATCCTCAGCTCTGAAAAATGCTGTGAATAGTTCAAATCAGATGAGGATAATTACATGTTGCATTTAGGTAACTTGTGACTTAGGAGGAATAACTCTATTAGGAAGTTGGGGGCAAAAACCTGATAGGTGTGTGTTCAAGAGAGAATGTGAGGAGAGACATTGAAAACAAGAATTATAAATGAGACTTTTTTTTCCGTAAAAATTGCACAGAAATTGGGCAATATCAATATAAAGAGTGGAAGCCAAAGAAAGATGTTGAGAAACGGGAAAATGACAGCGTGCTAACCTGTTGCTGGGTATATTTCTTTAGAAAGGGGAAAGTGATATCCTTGCCAACACAAGGAAAAGAGGCAATCTGATACACAAGTGTAGGTTGGCCTTAGCTTACACATGGACATTCATCAAGGTGGAACATGTGGTACTGAAGCTTTGCCTGTATAGATGTGGTCCAGGAGCTTTTGGAAGGTTTCTTCTTTATTTTTGGCAGTGAAATAGGTCATCAGCTGAAGGTAGAGAAAGGAAACCACATGTTAGAATTTTGAGGAGCGATATGAAGGTACAAAACAGTTACTCAGAAAACGAATGACACGGATTAGAAAAAAAAAAAAAAAAACAACTGTGACTTCTAGGCAAAATAAAAGGTCAATTTTGGCTTTATGATAATAAATTTAAAGTCAGCATGGTTGCTGGATTTTCTTCAGCTCCATCCACTCCGCGGGTTAACAGGCAGAATGAGATAAGAAACAGTGAAATCTGTGGCGAAATTAACCTATGGATTATAGATACTAGTCAGTGAAAGCATTGTTGTATCCAGGGTACTACTGAGTGTGAGCTAGAAAGATAGGCAGTAGTGCTCCATTCCTTGAAACTGATATTAAGGAGGGCTTGCTGTTATTACATATTACATAGGAGTAAGTAGAAGGTAAGATCATTGAAGAAGGGAGGGTTAAAAGAAAACCAAGAAGTCAGAGAATTAGAACGATTATTTTCATGATCATTGAAATCACCAATAATTAAAACAGAAGTAATATTTTGACAGATTTCCTTTGAACCAAGCACTAAAATTGTTGTGAAGTGACAGACAGTGATTGAGGGTTTGTTCATGATCTCAAGAAGAAGAATAAATGGTAGAATCTTTTGATATGAGATTCAAAACTATAAATTCTGAGGTTAAAGGGTGGGAAAATGAGAATAAGGTAGCAAAGTAAGGCAAATTGGAAACCAGTCGTCTGGTTTGGAGCAATATGGAACATAAAGCAACCCACATTTATCCCGGCTGCAGAAGAGGCAGCGAAGGGCCAAGTTAGAGTTAGGGAAAAACAGAAACAGAAGAATTCTTACAAGAGGCTGAAAGTATGGAGAATTTCATTTGTTATTAGTTATGCATTCCAGAAAGCTCAAGCAAAGAGTTTTGGCTCAGGATTGGGGGAGAGAGAGGAGATGGGGGCAAAAGCAAAAATGTGCATAGCCACACTGGGATTAGACAAGAGGTGATGAGTGATCAGGAAGTTCCTTTTTTTTTGAGACGAAGGCTCATTCTGTCACCCAGGCTGGAGTGCAGTGGTGCGATCTCGGCTCACTGCAACCTCCACCTCCCAGGTTCAAGCGATTCTCCTGCCTCAGCCTCCTGAGTAGCTCTGAGTAGCTGGGATTACAGGCACGTGCCACCACGCCTGGCTAATTTTTTTGTATTTTTAATAGAGAGAGGGTTTCGCCGTGTTAGCCAGGATGGTCTCAATCTCCTGACCTCGTAATCCACCTGCCTCAGCCTCCCAAAGTGCTGGAATTACAGGCATGAGCCACCGCACCTGGCGCCTGCCTTCTTACGGTGGTGACTGCCATTAAGAGAGATAATTGCCATAAGATTAGTCATAATGATGCCAGAACTTGGACCATTAGTGGGTATGGAGACATAGGGGTTCTTTCCAGGGAGTGCAGCTTTCTGTAATTACCTCTTGACCAGCTAAGGAAGGTGAGGTGGGTAGGCAATGGCAGGTCTGCTCTGAGCCTGAAGTCTCCTTCTTGGGATATGCACCCAGTACCTATCCGAGAGTCTGAGACTAAAAACTATTAGGAAAAATTGCTGGGGACATGTCTCAGAGACTTGACTTTTACTCTTTTAATATGAGTTAACTGCTTTAAAAATTGACAATATGCAAACGCCACACAATGACTCTATTTAGGTATCGAATCTATAATGTGTCTGGTACTAGGTGAGGCAGTTTACAGAGAGCAAATCCTTATCACAACTATAGCCTTCCCACTTAATGGATGAAAGCATTGATGCTTAAAATGGTGAAATAACCTACTGAAGTTTATATTGCTGTTAAGTAGCAGAGACATTGCTATCAAAGTTTATCAAACTTCAAAGCCCATAATATTTCATCAGAACTGTGATGATTATTGCAACAACAAACATAAGCAGATGGTTGTAAGCAAATTTGGAGTTCTATTGATCCCTGGCTGTTAGCATAATATTTATCTTGAGAAAAGTGTTGCAATGTCTTTCCTCTGACCACTCTTATTTTTTCCACAAGTCCCACAAAAAGGGAAGTCTAATTACTTACGTAGGAAGGAGAAAGGGCACAGAGAATGCTCTTCGACTTCTGAAAACATTCCAGAATTTTACCACTGATAGCTTTAGTTTAGGAGTTAGTAAGTTTCTCAGTTAATTTGTACTGTTTTATCTTCATTCTATGCATATATTTGTCCCAAATGAAATTGACGTGTCTTGAATGAAATGGATGTGTGACGAGAAAACCATTAGCATGAGAACACCCAAACTGTCTTCCTACTCTGAATAAAAGAAAAGCCATAAAATTGATAATAAATGTTTAGTATCTCTGCTATAAGGGTTCTCAAAAGCTGACAGTATGTAAAAGTTATTCTAAGTGCTTATTTAAAAAGCATAATCTCCGAACTCCTGAATCAGAATCTTGGGTGTGGGGCTGGATGGCACTTTTGACAAAGGCTCCCCAGTAGATTCTGACTCAACAGAGGGGTGTTCGGGAGCCTACTTCTAATTTTCCCTGCCCCAGGTCTACATTTCAGTGTTCCCCACATTTTCTAATCCTTGTCTCCCTCCACACTCTGGTTCCTTTCATTGTTCTAATACTTCCATGAATTAACCAGGTGTGTAACTAATCTAGGCCGGGTGCGGGGCGCTCATGCCTGTAATCCCAGTCCTTTGGGAGGCTGAGTCAGGTGGATCACGAGGTCAGGAGATTGAGACCATCCTGGCTAACATGGTGAAACCCCATCTCTACTAAAAATACAAAAAAATTACCCGGGCTTGGTAGTGGGCGCCTGTAGTCCTAGCTACTCGGGAGGCTGAGGCAGGAGAATGGCATGAAACCGGGAAGCAGAGCTTGCAGTGAGCCTGGGTGACGGAGTGAGACTCCGTCTCAAAAAAAAAAACAAAAACAACAAACCTAATCTATCAAATAACTGTGATATAGAATTAAATACATATTGCTGCAACTGTATCAACAACTGTCCTGTCAGTGATAAGAGGTAACAATGTTTTCATACATGCATTCTCTCTTTGCTATATACATACACACATACACATACATACATATATATACACATACACTCATGCATGTGTGTGTGTATATATATTCATGTGAGAGAAGAGTCTGTTTATTATTTGTATTATTATAGTACACTTCTAAAACACAGCCATATTATGGTAGGGAGTCAAATATGTTTGAGTTACTGAATTAATTTGACTTCATCCTTACTCAAGAAAAGTTTCAACTGAGTCAAGGTCTTCCATTCTCTAAAAACCAAGTCAATAGAAGGAGACCATTCTTCCTATAAGCTTTGATGTAAGGAATATATCATACAAACCAGTCTTGATTTTTGTCATTTAGAAGAATAGTCTTGTAATTAATTGGCAATTTAGTATTCCATGTGAGATATCCAGTGTCCATGTATGTCATATTAGATCCATACGCATGTAACAAGCAGAGAGGGTATGTTTTATTTTCTGAATGCTAATGTAACCTGTAGGGACATTTTAAAAAATCGCCTTGACTTATTTTCTATTTGGAACAGTTTTAAATACTTTGGATAATGTGTTGTATTTGTATTTCTAAAGAGAAAAATCTTATGCAATCAACTTAATTGAATGAGAAATAAGTCATTCCCAGAAATAATTTATTTTCTAATGTTAACATAAAATAATGTGTACATTCTGAGAAATTATTGATATAACCTTTAAAAGATAGGCTTCTGCGTTGAACTCCTAGAATTAGCTAGGTATATTTTTCTATTTGTCTAGGACATTGACCTAATAAGATGGTTAATCATCACTGGACTCATAAAAACAAACAAACAAAAAGCCAACTAACCATTTAAAGTGAGACTTTAACATCAGAAAAAGGATGGACTTGTTGCAGTTGCTGTAGCATTCAAAGTCCAGGTAAGAACTGTCGAGGTTGTCTAAAACATTTCTTTTATGTAAGAAATTTTAACAAATTTCAGTGAAAATGTTTTGGTAGTTATGGTAAATATTACAAATTTTATGCTCTGCATCTTCTTCACACTTAGTGTTCTGAGCCCTAAAAGCCTAGTAATTATCCCTTCCAGAAATAGAAGAGCCTCAGATTTATGTACTCAAAGATAAATTAGAGTAAATCGTACCTTTATAAAGTGAAAAATAAAGATTGAAGTCCTATTTCTATTGCTTTCTAAACAAATGAAACATGAAGTCTGAAAGGATGGACTTGTAGTTACTCTCTTAAAATACACTGTAAGACAATTATTTGCATAAACTGTGTAGAATTACTATACCAGGCTCTCTATTTCTTTGATTTCACTTTAACTGAATAAGTCAGAGTGGTTGGGTGGAGGGTGGAAAATGTGTTTCAAAGTCACTTAATCCCCTCACTTTCCTCCATTCAACTCAAGTTTGATTTAGGGTGAGGGGAAAGAGATATCCTAGATAACTTTTTTATCTCTGTTCAAATAAGATAAAAAAATCTTCTGAACACAGCTCTTGGAAAGAATCAACAGCTCAGTAAATATTGGTCCCCTTCACCCATTCAGGAAGGTTGCTTCCCTGATAACACAATTGTTTTTATTGTGAAAGTAAGGTGGGGATGCAGAAAGTCTCTCCTCTGAACAATATAAGAAGTTCAGAAATGCTGTTTTCCCTTTTATCCACCTCAGTTCCATAGATACATGCTAGAAACTGGGTCACTTGACCTGCACTGGTTTTCTATAATCCCTTAAATATGAAAAGCTTAACAGAAATAAGCAGAGGCTGGTAAGATTCTGCCGTCTACTTCAGCCCAATCAAACTGTGAAGAACTGACCTGTTCTGTTCAGGGAAGAGTTGTAATGCTATATCCAAATGCCTGTGGCTCTGTCTTATAAACATATTGTGTCCTCAAAATTTATTTATGTCAATAATTTGGAATTCAGAAATAATATATTCAGAGCAAAATATATTTTGCTTTATTTATGCTTCTAAATAAGGCTTAAAATGCTACAGTGAAGTAAAAAGTGTGGTATTTATTCAAGACTAAATTGATATTCCAGTTTCCTAGGTACTTTGTACTTACCTGATACTTTTTTCTTTTTTTTTGAGAAGCAGTTTTGCTCTTGTTGCCCAGGCTGGAGTGCAATGGTGCAATCTCGGCTCACCACAACCTAGTCCTTGTGGGTTCAAGTGATTCTCCTGCCTCAGCCTCCAGAGTAGCTGGGATTACAGGCATGTGCGTGTAATCTACCACACCCAGCTAACTTTGTATTTTTAGTAGAAACGGGGTTTTTTCCATGTTGGTCAGGCTGGTCTCGAACTTCCAACCTCAAGTGATCTGCCCGCCTCGGCCTCCCAAAGTGCTGGGATTACAGGCGTGAGCCACTGTACTCGGCCTACTTAATACAATTTAACCTTTCTGAGAGATGAGGAACCAAGTGCCCATATTTCCTATTTTTCTGGCTAAGTATTTTATCTGTGTAATAGTTGTCTTGGAAAGTAGGGAAATAACAGAAAAAAGTAATGATTATTCAGGTATGTTCTCCAGTGGTACAGAAGGATGAGAGAGGTTATTTCAACTGGAGGTAAATAGGGAAACATTAAAGTGGTGTGATTTGGAGCCACATTACAGCCAAGAGATAGGGAAGGACATTCCAGGAATGGAAGACATATACATGAAGATAGAGAGCTTTCTTCTTGGGACAGTGGTTCCATAAGTCTGCAAGTGCCTATGGTTGTATTGGGAATGGGACTGAAAACAAGGATTGATTTAGGCTGTGAAGACTCTCAAATAGGAAGTGTAAGTTTTATTTTTGTTGTAAGAGGGATATATGAATGATTCCAAGAATGGACATGATATGCATAGGAAACAAAGCAAGCTGGAAGACAGGACAACTAGAAGTTAATCAGTTGAAAGAAACAAGGCTTGAGGGGTGAGATAATAGTCTTCAAGCCATCAAGAATATTTGTTTAGTATAAAGAAAAAGAAAAGTCTAAAGCTAAAAGAAGACTATCTATCTTGCAAGTCATTCAAAAAGATTTGCAATTATAGAATTAATTGGTAAAAAATAAGTATCTTCCAACTTTTAAATTATGAGGAAAAAAAAACAGAAAGAGATATTCATGGAAAAAGTGGTGTAAATTTATTAAGGGGCTGCTTATTACCTTGAGACCACCAAACTATTGATTTTTTCCTCACCTCACCTACAAAAGACATACAAAAAGTGGATTAATTGAACTTCTCTTAGCGATACATAGGTATGGGTTTCTGCATTCATGAGTATATTTATATACAGTCACATATACATAAGTGATATTATCTTTAGATATTTATTATTTCCATATTCATGCATTATTCACTAAATATGCATGATATATATTATGGTTTTTATACATTTATAATAGAGAATCAATAAACCCTTGTTGAGTAAATAATGCATAAAATATGCAGTAGATCTTCATTATTCACAGATTCTATATTAGAAAATTTGTCTAAACACTAACATTTATTTGTGACACCAAAATTAATACTGTTGGGCTTTTGTGATCATTGGCATGCATGAGCAGAGTGGTGAAAAATTTTGAGTTGGTCTGTTTCGGTTGAGGTGGAACAAAGTGAAGCTCTGCCTTCCTGTCTCAGCTCCCATACTATAAACTTCGCAGTGTATTTATCTCCACATTGTTTCCATAGTTGTACTTTGTGATGCTGAGTTTACTGTTTTAAGTTGGCCTCAAGCATAGCCCTGAAGTGTTGTCCTATGTTCCTTCCTCCAAGAGTGCCTGACAGAAGAGGTACATATGCTACGTAAGTTTTCTTCAGGCATGAAATACAGTGCTATTGGCCACTAATTCAATGTTAATGAATCAACAGTATATACTAAAGTGTGTTTGAACAAAAACATACAGAAGACATTATGTATTAAGTTATGTATTGATCCGTTGATGAAAATGTTGTGACCAAAGGCACAGTCACCTAAACCTGTATCTCTTCTAGGAATGACAGATTAATATTTGCAAATTCAGTGTTCCCAGCAACTCTATGGAACAAAATTATTGCAGAAAGTGACAATCAATTGTACATATAACCTATATCATACGTATTGTATAATCAGTGTACTATTACAAATCGGACACTTATATAGATATCTTAGATATTTACATACTTAGATATTCACATATCTAAGGTATCTATATAAGCAACTACATAGCATATATCTACATATATGTGCTATATACATAACATATACCCGTATCTATGTTACGTATCTGCTTATATACTTTATATACATAAATATGTGTTATGCACATATATATGAACAACAATACATCTCTAAACCTCTATAAATAATCCACTGTTCTATATAAAAGAATCAACTGACATAAAAAGTTGACTCATTTTACTGGTCTTTAAAATAGGGGCTTAATAACTCTCAAACTTATGATTTCTCTTATGCTTCCACTTCAAAACTTCACTTGTAGGAATGTATCCTACAGATATGACCACACATATATAAAATGACATATAACATATTAAGAACATTTTCTAATATGAAATAATTAGATATAATCTAAATGGTTATCAATATGGAACTAGTTACATATATTATGAAGAACAGAATACCCTGTTACCATAAGCAAAATGAGGAGGACTTTTATTAATATAAAGTATATACAGAAGATAAAAAGGTAGAGTGCAGTGGTACTGGTATACTTACATTTATATTAAAAGGGAAAATATTATGTATTTACTTAAAAATGCATATCAGGGCCGGACACGGTGGCTCTCACCTGTAATCCCAGCACTTTGGGAGGCTAAGAGGGGCGGCTCACGAGGTCAGGAGATCGAGACCTTCCTGGCTAACATAGTGAAACCCCGTCTCTACTAAAAGTACAAAAAAATTAGCCAGGCATAGTGGCAGGCGCCTGCGCCTGTGGTCCCAGCTACTTGGAAGGCTGAGGCAGGAGAATGGCATGAACCCAGGAGGCAGAGCTTGCAGTGAGCCGAGATCACGCCAGTGTGCTCCAGCCTGGGCGACAGAGTGAGACTCCGTCTCAAAAAAAAAAAAAAAAAAAAAAAAAACATGTCAGATTTCTGGATAAGGGGACGAAGATTGTAGGAAGACTCTTTGCTTTTTTTTTTTGGATTTTCAACTACATGCATGTATTTTCTCTTGAAAAATAAATGGATAAACCCCAAATATGGTAAGATCATGATGATGGTAAGGTCAAGCATGGCCAAAGTCTCTCTAGAGGTACTTGGAATACATTTTGCTCTTTTAAACAAATCCAAACTTTTCTGCTTTTTGAGCCTGGTTCCATAGGTATCTCCTCTATGAAACTGACAGAGGCTATCCTAATTATTATTATTTACATTATTTTTCAACCCATTTTGAGTATCCACTATGTGCAAGACACCATCTGTCACTTTATAAACTTATAAGGATAACATAAACATAAATGTGCTTTCATAAATCTTATAATCTGGCTATGTGGAAAATATAAAAATTTTAATTTCTATAATTTAAAATTTTTGTTCATACAATCTAGTGTGTGGTTTTATATTATTTACTTGTTTCAAATCAAATTTCTCTCTATAAAAACTATTTTTCTAAGTAAATTATGATCTCTTTAGGCTCTGAGTTTGTGTCTGTCTTTCCTCCTCTGTGTCCGGCATTGCCCTCATCCTGTGGTCAGGAAATAGCAGGCCCTGAATGAATATTAGAGAATGATTGATTAATATTGAGCTTGTGACTTTTCCTATTTTTAAATTGTATATTGTTAAAGTAAAATAAATTACACTTTTTCTTTTTTAACAGGTGATCATTTCAAACCAAGCATCAGCAGCAATTAAAAACATTCACATGGTATCTGTAGTTTAATCATGGACCAACATCAACATTTGAATAAAACAGCAGAGTCAGCATCTTCAGAGAAAAAGAAAACAAGACGCTGCAATGGATTCAAGGTAGAATGGGTTTTATATTTTCAAACTAAAATAAGTTAATGGAAAATTTTTATGTATAGAAAGGCCACTAATTTTCAAAAAGAACATTATATCTCATATTACAATTTTTCCATTGAAGCACACATTAAAATATTAACAAAATATCCCTGTATTGATTTAAATCGGTTTTTAATCTGATTGAGGTATTTCTTTGCTAGAGTTTTTTGATGTATAAAAGTTTATTTACTTTTTTAATTTTTAATTTATATGGATATGTAGTAGGTATATACATTTATGGGATACATGAGATGCTTTGGTACAGGCATGCAATGTGAAATAAGCAAATAAGGAAGAATGCAGCATCCATTCCCTCAAGCCTTTATTCACTGAATTGCACATCATTCAATTATACTATTTAAGTTATTTTAAAAGGTACAGTTAAGTAATTGACTATAATCACCCTTTGTGCTATCAAATAGTAGGTCTTATTCATTCTTTTTAACTATTTTTTGTACCCATGAATCATCCCCATCCCCCCACCCCCACACCTACACCACCCTTTCCAGCCTCTGGTAACCATCCTTCTACTCACTGTGTCCATGAATTCAATTGTTTTGATGTTTAGATCCCACAAATAAGTGAGAACATGCAATGTTTGTCTTTTTGTGCCAGGCTTATTTCAGTTAACATAATGATCTCCAGTTCAATTCATTTTGTTGCAAATGACTGCATTTCGTTCTTTCTATAGCCGAGTAGTACTCCATTGTGTGTATGTCCCACTTTTTTTATGCATTCATCTGTCGATGGACACTTACATTGCTTCCAAGTCTTGGCTATTGTAAACAGTGCTGCAACAAACATGGAAGTACAGATAATCTTAGGTAAACTGTTCCCTTTATTTTGGGTATATACCCAGGAGTGGGATTGCTTTATCACATGGTAACTCAATTTTTAGTTTCTTGAGGAACCTCCAAACTGTTCTTCATAGTGGTCCTACTAATTTATATTGCCACCAACAGTGTACATGGAATTCCCTTTACTCCACAACCTGACCAGCATTTGTTATTGCCTGTCTTTGGTATATAAGCCATTTTAACTGGGGGTGAGATAATATCTCATTGTAGTATTTATTTGCATTTATCTGATGATCAGTGATGTTGAGCACTTCTTCCTCTGCCTGTGTTTTATTTATATGTCTTCTTTTGAGAGATGTATATTGAAATGTTTTGCCTACCTTTTGATCAGATTATTAGATTTTGTCTTGTAGAGTTGTTTGAGCTACTTAGATATTCTGGTGATTAATTCCTTGACAGATGGATAGTTTACAAATATTTTCTCCTACCTTGTGGGTTGTCTCTTCACTTTGTTGATTGTATCCTTTTCTATGCAGAAACTTTTTAACTAGATGTGATCCCGTTTGTCAATTTTTCTTTGGTTGCCTGTGTTTCTGGGGTAAGAAATTTGCTAAAGAAATTTTTGCCCAGACCAATGTCCTGGAGAGTTTCCCCAATATTTTCTTGAGGTAGTTTTATGGGTTGAGGTCTTTAGATTTAAATCTTTAATTCATTTTGATTCGTTTTGCATATGGCTAGAAATAGGGGTCTAGTTTCATCCTAGCACCAGTTATTGAAGAGACTGTCTTTTCCCCAGTGAATGTTCCTGGCATCTTTGTCAAAAATGAGTTCACTGTAGGTGTGTGAATTTGTTTCTGGGTTCTCTATTCTGATCCATTGGTCTCTGTGTCTGTTTATATGCCAGTACCATGCTGTTTTGGTTACTGTAACTCTGTAGTGTGTGTGTGTGTGTATGTGTATATATATATATATATTTTTGGGATGGAGTCTCATTCTGTTGCCCAGACTGGAGTGCAGTGGCACAATCTTGGCTCACTGCAAGCTCCACCTGCTAGGTTCATGCCATTCTCCTGCATCAGCCTCCTGAGTGGCTGAGACTACAGGTGCCCACCACCATGCCCAGCTAATTTTTTTTATTTTTATTTTTAGTAGAGATGGGGTTTCACTGTGTTAGCCAGGATGGTCTTGATCTCCTGACCTCATGATCTGCTTGCCTTGGCTTCCCAAAGTGCTGGGATTACCGGCGTGAGCCACTGTGCCTGGCCACTCTGTAGTATAATTTGAAGTCAGGTAATGTGATTCCTCCAGTTTGGTTCTTTTTGCTTAGGATACCTGTGGCTATTCTGTGTCTTTTATGGTTCCATATAAATTTTAGGATTGATTTTCCTATTTCTGTGAAGAATATCATTGGTATTTCGATAGGGATTGCATTGAATTCATAGATGGCTTTGGGTATTATGGACATTTGAAGAATATTCATTCTTCCAAACCATGAACATGGAATATTTTTCCATTTTTAGATGTCTTCATCAATTTCTTTCAAGAGTGTTTTATAGTTTTCATTATAGAGATTTTTCACTTCTTTGGTTAAATTAATACCTAGACATTTAATTTTATGTCTGGCTATTGTAAATGAGATTGCTTTTTTATTTTTCTGTCACATTGTTCACTATTGGCATTTAGAAATGCTACTGAGTTTTGTATGGTGATTTTGTATCCTGCAACTTTACTGAATTTATCAGTTCTAATAACTTTGTGGAGTCTTCAGGATTTTCCAAATATAGGATCATATAATCTACAAACAAGAGTAATTTGACTTCTTCTTTTCCAATTTGGATGCCCTTTTCTTCCTTCTCTTGTCTGATTGCTCTAGCTACGTGTTGAAAGTAAAGCTCGGAGTCACAAAGAAAACGAGCACTTAAAGGATTTCTCAGTAAGGCAAATTTACTTCTGCAGAAGGGTGCTGCTTGCAAGTTTGGTCACCAGGAGAGCACACTGAACAAAGGAGTGAAGGGGTTTTAGTTTCTTATGTAGTTTGTCCCTGCTACTGTGTCCTGCCTCCACTGGCTGGAGTTGGACTGCACAATCTAAGTTGAACCCGACTGGCTAACTTGAAAGGTATAGGAATACGGTGACACTGGCAGGAAGGGCAGTTTTGGAGGGAAGAGTTGTGGCAATGGGAGAGGTAATTTACAGAGTGGGTAACAGATGTGTGCTCTGTAGATAAGGACTGGCAGGAAAGTTGTTTACTGAAACCAAGACAGGGAGGCACAAAGGATAAGGAAGTTAGTTTGGCCTTGGAAGTAGGGAACAAAGAACAAAGAGCTGAACAAGCCAAACCTTTGAAGAGGAATTTCTTTTGTATCCGACACTAGGACTATGTTAACTATGTTAAATAACATAGTGTTACTTAACATAATAAGTAGTGTTAACTATGTTATTTTAGTAGTTAACGCTACTATGTTAAATAACAGTGGTGACAGTGGGCATTATTGTTGTGTTCCAGGTCTTAGAGGGAAAGCAAAGAGTTTATTAATGTGGAACATTTAGAAATATTTTGGTATCTTCCCTTTGGTTCTTGATAGATCAAGAGACACTTATAAATATAATTAAAATGAAAAAAAGATATGCAATAAATAACATCTAAAAATCTTCTTAGAATTGACTTATAATTCTAGAAGATTAATATCTTGTGAATCACTTTACAATCTTGATCTATTTAAATATTCTTTTGTTAAAGAACAGCATTGTTATGAATTCTGATAACCTATGTAATGGAGGCTGATGGAAAAGAGATCTGTAATAGTCAAAAGACCTAGTCCAAAAATCTAGTTGATGACTTGGGAAGATCATTTAATTTTTTCATTTGCAAATTGGTAAAGGTAATAATTCTGCCTTTTGCTTTTGTCACAAAATTATGAGGCATTAAATTATATTGGCATTTTCATAAACAGGGAAAAAGTACTGCTAAGCACAGTGCTAAATGAAGAAACCAAGACTCAGTAGAGTTATTTGACTACAGTCACCTCTGTTTTGAATTGAAAACCCTGGAATCCATGTCAAAGCCTTTTAATCCCCACAGAGAAGTCTTTGAAGAAATCAAGAAACTAATCATAGTCACTTTTTAGTGATATATATATATAAAATATAAAATATATATTATATATACATGAAATATAAAATATATATATTTTTTATATATATATATACACACACATATATATAAATTTACTTACAGTTGTAGTCCTATCCAGTTGAATAGGGCCACAGAGATTGGGTTGTAAACCAAAAAATACTTGATATAGGTCTCAATCAGTTTGGAAGTTTACCTTATCCAGGTGAAGGATGCACCCAGGAGACAGGCCTGGGCCTTTCTCCAAAGGTGATTTTGAGGGCTTAAATACTTAAAGGGGAAAAGCAGGCTGGAGGAGAAAATGGGAATGTATGGTCACATTACTGAATACACATGTCACGAGAGAAAAACTAGCAGGTAAGGGAATGGTCAATTGTTTATATGTCTTGTGCTCAGTAAATCGACACTTTACACAAGATAAGGTGAACATAGACTAGCTACCTGTGGAAAGATTTAACCTTTTATCTGTAGCTGTCTGCTTAAGGAAAGGCATCTTTTTGCAGAACTCAACTTTTAGCTTAATTTTGTTTCTTTTGTCGTAGTGAATTGGGGTCTCAAGTTTTTATTTTCTTTTCACACCCCTGCCTTTTTCCTTTTAAAAACTTTTGAAGAAAGCATTTTAGAAGAAAGTTACTCCCTGGTCTTGAATTTTGTCTGATCTCTCATGGCTATGATGGTATATTCCTAGACCAATAGATCCCATATTATTAGGAATGCTCATTGTGAAATCTTATCTCCTGCAAAGAAAAAAAATAAGAGGAGGAAGAGAGACAAACACATAGTAGAAAGAACAATCCTGGAAAACTGATGTAGGCCGTATTACTCTGAAGTATTGTCAGTAGGCAGGTATGAAAATGGTTTATGTGTATAAATAGATTTCTGTTATTTTCTTCTGAAGTTTAAGTTGCTTAGTTTGCGTTCCCCTGGCTTAAGAAAATCACAATTTAATATTTAGTAATTTCAAATTGGAAAATAAGGGGATAAGGAAAATGAAAGGAAAGGAGAAAAGAAAGAAAAAATTGAAAACATGATTT